TGCTACTTGCTCCCTCCCTCAAGTCACCTGACTCACCCACATTCTCCTCCCACAATACTGTTTTTGCTTTTATTCACTATATACAGACCTATATATAGGTATCTACATTCGTGTTCACCATAACGAACCACTAAGTTGGTACGCTGAGTGGCAGTGGCAGCCAGAGGCAGCCCGCCACTGGCTGCCACTCCCTCCCTCCCTCACCTCACCCGACTTGCCACAATTCTCCACCCACCATACTGTTTTTGCTTTTATATACAGACGTTATATATAAGTATTTACATGTTTTATTCACCATAACTGTACATCTAAGCTTGTATGGTGAGTAAAGGCACAAAGACGTAGGACCTCACACAGTCAGCTGATGGCTGCCGCCCTCAAGGCCAGACGCACTAATATTTCTCCTCCAACAATACTGTTTGTGGTGTTATTACGCTATATACACACATTATATATAAATATCTACCTGTTTTATTCACCATACTTGTACCAGTAAACTGGTATGGTGCCCAAAGACCATCGTGGTCACCAATAAACAACCTGATAAATCGTGCAGACGACGCCGCCACCCTCACCAAAATGGCGCTTCCCAACCTACTCCTCTTGCTGTTTATACCCTCTATACACACATTATATATAAGTATCTACATTTGTGTTCACCATAGTGAACCACTAAGCTGGTATGGTGAGTGCAGTCAATAAAAGGTGGCCACACTAATTACACTTAGTTAATTACACTTAGGTAATTACACACAGTCAGAAGACAATGCCACCACCCTCCCTCCTACAGCATTACTCCTCCCTCTATGCAGCACAGCGCTAAATATCACCACAATCCTGCTATTATCAGAACCCTGGTCAGTTTTATCACAGTCAGGGGTCTTCTGTAATAATATCATCGCTACATAATAGCAAGAACAAGTATATTATGGCATTTTTAGGCAATGCTGTGGTCACAAGCTGAACAGCAGTGCTGTGAGCTCATGCTGCGTGCGTCAGGCTTGGTAGCTCACTCAATACTGAGGTCCCTAACACCCGGGAATTTGGCCCACGATTTTTTTAAAAAATGGCGTCTGTTTACAAGAGCCCTGATGAAGGTGTGGTGAACCCCGTGTATCCACAGGCCGTTTAAATCTTGCGTAGTACTCCAACGCATCATATGATGCGATGCGCAATTTTCTGCAAGTCGGTCAAAGCATCATATGATGCGATGCGCAATTCAAGGGTTAAAGAAATGTCTGAGTTCCCCATAATGATCTCTCCTAATCAGGCCTTTGAACTGCTTAAATCTCATTTTTTTCCAAATTATAACACATAGCATACTTTATTCCCAATAAGACATGGTCACTTTTACCTAAGGGAGAGAGGTACTGAATGTCAAATATCTAATCCTCTTTCCTGGTATATACCAAATCCAGCATGGAGGGAATATCTCCTTCCCTCATCCTCGTAGCTTGCTTAACATGTTGAAGTATGAATGTTTCCAGGATGAGGTTTACGAATCTACAAGTCCAAAAATCCTCCGTTCTAGCTTCATATGCCTCTCAATCTATGAATTTTAAGTTGAAGTCGCCGACTACCAACACTCGTGATCTATCTTTATCAGCTCTGACTATAATTTCTCTCATTATAGTTATAAGACCCTCTCGTTTATTATCTAGCTCCTCCATTGTCCATGCTTGGCGGTGGACTATATGCATTTATGATCGTTAGTTTATCATCCTGATTGCATATCTCTAGTGCTATTATGTCAACTTCTCGTGGATTGGCAATTATTATTTTGTTTACCTTTAGGTGTTCTTTTACCAGCACAGCAATGCCACCGCCTTTCCTAGTTTTTCTGTTCTGTCTCCAGACCAAGTAGCCTCTTGGGAATATGACCTCATTTAAAATATCATCTTCAAGTTTTGTCTGCATGAGTGCAACAATGTCTGGTGTATGCAGCTGTATTACATCACTTAACTCCAGTATCTTTGATCTCACTCCATATATGTTGGTGTATGCAATTTTCAGGAACTTGTTCCCCTTCTCCTTATTCTTCACTCCCTCTCTCTCTAATCCTTTTGTTGGTTTGCCTTTATGTACCACTTTACTGGCCTGCCTACCAATATCACTTTGTAGAAAAAAGAATTGATTTCTTCTTCATTCCTGCTCTCATTTAAACGTTTTGCCTCGGCGAGGTTCAGTTTCAGCTTCTCTCTGTCTTCTCTTGAAAGATCTCGTCTTAACGACCATACTTTCCCTACCTCATCACTTTGCAATTTTCTAACATTCCTTAGTATTTCTTCCATCTGTTTGGCACCATTTAGGGTGATCCTCAAAGGTCAATCTTTCCCTTTTACATACTTTCCAATCCTCCTGTACTGTAGTCACAGACATTCTCGATGGTAGTAAGACCTTCCACGAGGCCAATAATTTTATCTACCACAGTACTTTCTCTTCTTCTTCTACAGCTCTTTCTGACATGGAAGTTATCTCCGTTTCTGTGCAACCAAAAATTATCAGAGACTTCGATCAACTGTGTTTTGCACCAATTTAGGATTTGATGCCAGTTCCTTTCTGACTTCCAGCCTAATGTTTGTTTTATCCTGGTTGCTGCAGTTTTTGGCTTCCTTTACTGCTTCTTCTATTTTTTCCTTCTCCTTGGCCACTTGTGCATAGGTGAGTTGCATATCTTTCTTGCACTGTTCTATTCCCTGTGTAACTTCCTCCATCTGTACTGACAAAAGCTGTTTTTCCTGTTGAATTTCCTTATCTAACCTATCGTAGTCATTTAAGTTTGCTTTAACTTCTTCCAAAGCTATTTTTAAGAGTTTATTTTCCTCTTCCATGGCTTTGTAATTTGTTTCCAGTTGATTCTTGTCCTTGCGTAAGTCTTTCACTAACCCCTCAAGACCTAAAACCTTGCCACTCAAGTGCTCATTACTTTCTTTCAATTTGCTGATTATTTCTTCATGATAGTTCATTATAATATCTAATTTTGCCAATTTGTTGTGTAGACTGCTTATATCAATGTTTTCTTCATTAAAAATTTCTGCCCGAAACGCTGCGCATACTAGTGGCTTTACAAGAATGTAATTACTATGTTATGTATCCTCACAATCCCAATGTACCTTCTTGTATATATATAAATAAATAAATAAATAAAAACCCCAAAATCTAGCTCTATTTTGTTTTTCTTCTTGCTGGTGGCCATCTGGACTGTAAACACTAGGGTCACTTTTTCTCATCCAATTTTTCACTTCACTTTGAACATTCATGTTGCCTCACCTATTTTTCCAAAGCACAACACTTTTATGTTCCTTGGGACACCACTCACTATCATCAACCTGTACTACAATACTTAGGAATTGTGAAATATCCTGGAGCTCCTCTGTTGCAGGTGCTGATACTAGGGGTGTCACCATTTGAATCTTGAATGTAGTGTGATGGATGTATATAATAAAATGTGTGAATCATCGCTATACTCAAAAGTATGATATTCATATTAGTGATTAAATTATTACATTCATAAAGCAGTAAACAATTAGTTTTGCTGTTATTACACTATATACACACATTATATATAAGTATCTACATGTTTTGTTTACCACAACTGTACAACCAAGCTGATATAGTTAGTTCAGGCACTAAGAGACATCGCTACATACACAAATGGCGGCTGCCTCCCTCACCCATTCAAGGTCAGGCGCACTAAAATTTCTCCCCCAACAATACTGTTTGAGGTGTTATTACACTATATATACACATTATATATAAGTATCTACATGTTGTGTGCGCCGTAACTGTACACCTAAGCTTGTAGGGTGCCCAAAGAGCATAGTGGCCACCCTCTACACAGCTAGACAAGTCATGCAGACAACGCCACCTCCGTCACTCAAATGGCTCCTCCCAACATAAACCTTTTGCTGTTATTACACTAATACACACAATATATATAAGTATCTACATTTGTGTTCACCATAGAGAACCACTGAGCTGGTATGGTGAATGCAGACAATAACAGGTGGCCACACAGTCAGTATTCTCTCTCTCTCCTTCAGCATTACTCCTCCCACACAACGCTAATTATCATAACAATCCTGCTATTATCACAATCCTGGTCATTTTTATCAGTCAGGGGTCATCTGTAATACTGTCATCACTAAATAATAGCAGTTACATATTTATTTTGACATTTTTAGGTGATGCTGTGGTCACAAGCTGAACAACAATGCTGTTAGCTCATGCTGCGTGTGCCAGCCTTGGTTGCTCCTAAAGTACTGTGGCTGTCACACTGGAGAATATTGCACATGATTTTTTTTTTAAATATGGTGTCTGTTATAAGAGCCCTGAGGAAGCTGATGTGAACCCCGTGTAGCCGCAGGCCATTTGAATCGTGACTGGCACCCTATGGCGTATATATATGCCATGCGCTTGGTAGGACATGTTACTCATGGCGTATATAAACGCCATGAGCAATTTAAAGGTTAACTCTTACCCAAGATCTATTTCCAAAATAAACACTTCATTTAATTTAATAATCACAAACTCCATGCATACTTGTCAATCTTCAGTTATTTTAGTCCCATTGCTTTGAACCTTTTCTAATTCAATGAAGGTCATGACCACCTAATAATCTTTCTAACATGATTTGTTTAACAATAGACACTTTCTCAATTTCTGTACTCCACCAGTCACTATCCTTCCATACGCTTTGTCCACTAAGTAAACTGATGTTTAATTTGTAAACATTAGTTTATGTTTTATAATGTTATGTCTTATAATGTAGTGTTATGGAACACTTATAATATAAGTGTTCCAAAAAAACATTAAACCCTTATTTGCACTTTCCTCCTCCATGGACATATCTTCTGGTATTTTATCATGCACTCTTTTCACATAAGCAAAACCAATCACATTCACATGACCACTTTCTTCATATCCACATGATGATAATACAGTACAGCACACCTAAAAATTATTAGTTATCAGGTATACCTTATATATAATACACTAACCTGAGCAAGATAAAGCTTAATTAACTTGACACAAGGTGCAGAAATTTCTTGAATGAAGTCTCTTCCATCATTTGCTGCTTCACTAGTAAAGTTTGTGACTACATTGACCACATCCCCCAAAAGAATTGGCACTTGAACATTGGCCAAAGCAACAATCAGAGCACTCTGAAATATTAGTTATGAAAAAAACAAGTGTTAAAAATAATGAAATGCAAATTTCTGGGTGAGCCCCAGAGGCTCCATGTAGCTAACATCTGATATACGCAATGCCTAACAGGTGCCATCAGTTTGTGGAGTAGGATCCCTTGATTGTTTCAAGAGGATCCCATGATTGTTTCAAGCATAGGTTAGCCATATATATGAATGAGATTGGGTGGACATAAACAGGAGCTGCCTCGTATGAGACAATATGCCTTTTGTAGTTACCTTAATTCTTATGTTCTCTGCATGCCAGAGTCCATGAGCCAGAATCTGGCCCTCTCACAGACAAACAGGAAGCAGTGACATCTATTTTCTTTATGCTACTATCAAGGAAGTCACCCAGAAAGTCAGCGAGACAAAACAGACAACAGCTGGCCATAACTTATACCTGCAGACTTGAAATTGGCCATAGAATTCTCCCAAATTAGATAAACAAACAATTGGAAATGTTTTGATGTAGCGCACACTCGTTTACTCGCCACCCCCTTGTTTGAAGGATGGGGTGATGCATCAATGAAGTGCATGCATTGATGAAAATCAATGATGCACATCTTTGATTTTACCCGAGGGCGACTAACACAGATGGCCTCGATGAGGATAGGAAGCCGGTGGCTTGTTGATATTTATGAGATATTTAAATATTATGTATGTTACCACTGCGCCGCAGGGACTGTTCTGAGTTTTGAGTTCTGAGCTCTGAGTTCCATGGATATTGAATTCTCTAGCTTGTGGTAGGAAACATAACCCCTGTTTAACCCTTAAATTGCGCAAATCATATATATATGATATCAGTGACAAAACCGAAACCGCGCACATCATATATATATGATTTCGTGTCTAGCGCTATAATTTAAATGCCCCGCCTGGGATAGGGGCGAAATGGAGTAGACACAAGACAGCTTGTGAAATGGAGTAGACGTAACATTCACCCCGAATGCAAGCTGGAGCAGCTCCACCAGCACCGCATGATACAAAGTAACACAAAATATTCGGCATAGGATGACAGTCCTGAAACAGCCAAGAGAGAAAGGCCAAAACAATCTGATCAGAAACCGAAGACAACCTACGAAGACAAAAAATGATGAAAGAACTGCCAGGAAACTTCATACTGCCGAGACGAAACACACGGGTGGGACACCATCAACGAAACCACCTGATCACCATACAAGTGGTGATAGACCCTCGTCAGAAGGACCAGATGCGAAGATCAGAGAAGATCAAACCAGCCACATTCTGAACCAGACTGATCTGCAGAAAGAAGCGCATGCATACCGGCACATAACAGTGACATAAGAGAACATAAGGTATAGTGCTCTTGAAAAATAGGTGAGATAACAGGAAAGTGCTAAGGGAAGTGAAAAATCGGATGAGAAAAAGTTGCCCTAGTGTTTACAGTGCAGAGAAGAACATTCAAGATGGCCACTGGCAAGGGGAAAAACAAAACAGAGCTTGATTTTGAGGGATTCAATGAAGAAAGCATTGATATTAGTAGTCTACATAACAAGTTGGTAAATTTAGATACTATAGTGAACTCTCATGTAGAAATAATTAGTAAATTGAAAGAAAGTAATGACCATTTGAATAGCAAAGTTTTATGTCTTGAGGGTTTAGTGAAAGACTTGCGCAAGGATAAGAATCAATTGGAAACAAATTGCAAAGCCATGGAAGAAGAAAATAAACTCTTAAAAATAGCTTTGGAAGAAGTTAAAGTAAATTTAAACATAAATGACTACAATAGGTTAGGCAAGGAAATTCAACAGGAGAAAAACAGCTTTTGTCAGCACAGATGGAGGAAGTTACACAGGGAATAGAACAGTGCAAGAAAGATATGCAACTCACTTATGCACAAGTGGCCAAGGAGAAGGAAAAAATAGAAGAAGCAGTAAAGGAAGTCAAACACTGCAGCAACCAAGATAAAACAAACATTAGGCTAGAAGTGAGGAAAGAATTGGCATCTAACCCGAAGTTGGTGCAAAACACAGTTGATCGGAGTAAGTCCCTGATCATTTTTGGCTGCAAAGAAAAGGCGATAACATCTAGGTCAGAAAGAGCTGTAGAAGAAGCTAAAGTAGTAGATAAAATTGTTGGCCTCGTGGAAGGTCTTACAAACAGAGAGAATGTGTGCGACTACAGGAGAATAGGCAGGTACGTAAAAGGGAAAGATCGACCTTTGAGGATCACCCTAAACGGTGCCAAACAGATGGAAGAAGTACTAAGGAATGCTAGAAAATTGCAAAGGGATGAGGATGGGAAAGGGTGGTCGTTAAGACGAGATCTTTCAAAAGAAGACAGAGAGAAGCTGAAACTGAACCTCGCCGAGGCAAAACATTTAAATGAGAGCAGGAATGAAGAAGAAATAAATTCTTTTTTCTACAAAGTGATAGGGGTAGGCAAACCAGTAAAGTGGTACATAAAGGCAAACCAACAAAATGAATAGAGAGAGGGGGAGTGAAGAATAAGGAGAGGGGGAACAAGTTCCTGAAGATTGCATACACCAACATAGATGGAGTGAGATCGAAGATACTGGAGTTAAGTGATGTAATACAGCTGCAGACACCAGACATTGTTGCACTCACGGAGACAAAACTTGAAGATGTAATTTTAAATGAGGTCATATTCCCAAGGGGCTACTCAATTTGGAGACGGGACAGAAAAATTAGGAAAGGCGGTGGCGTTGCTGTGCTGGTAAAAGAACACCTAAAGGTGAAGGAAATAATGACTGCCAATCCACAAGAAGTTGACATAATAGCACTAGAGATCTGCTATGAGGATGATAAACTAATGATGATAAATGCATATAGTCCACCGCCAAGCAGCACATGGTCAAAGGAGGAGCTAGATAGTAAACGTGAAGGTCTTATAACAATAATGAGAGAGATTATAGCGGGAGCGGATAACGATAGATCACGACTGTTGATAGTCGGTGACTTCAACTTGAAATCCATAGACTGGGAAGCATATGAAGCTAGAACAGAAGATTTTTGGACCTGTAAATTTGTAGACCTCATCCTGGAAACATTCTTGTATCAACATGTTAAACAAGCTACGAGGATGAGGGAAGGGGACGTTCCCTCCATGCTAGATTTGATGTTTACCAGGAAGGAGGAAGAGATATTTGACATTCAGTACCTTCCTCCCTTGGGTAAAAGTGACCATGTCTTTTTGGGAATAAAGTATGCAATGCGTTATAAGCTGGAAGAAAATAAGGAGGTTGAAGCAGTTGAAAAACCAGACTTCAGGAGAGGACATTATGGTGACCTTAGAAATTTTTTTAGTGAGTATAATTGGACAGACTTGATGCTAGGAAAGGAAGTGAATGAGATGTATGGCAAGTTTTGTGAAATATATGATAAAGGCACAAAAAAATTTATACCAAAACAGAGATGCAGAACTAGGAAACAGGATTGGTTCAATAGAAATTGCGAGAGGGCTAGAGACCGAAAGACACAAAAATGGAATCAATACAGGAAGAGGCCGAACCCCCAAACATACCAGCGATACAAAGATGCGAGAAACAACTACACGGCAGTGAGGAGAGAGGCAGAAAGAAATTTTGAAAAAGGGATTGCGGACAAATGTAAAACAGAACCAGGTCTATTCTATAAATTCATAAACAACAAATTGCAGGTAAAGGATAATATTCAGAGGTTGAAAATGGGAAATAGATTCACGGAAGATGAAAAGGAAATGTGTGAAACACTAAACGAAAAGTTCCAAAGTGTGTTTATACAAAATTAAATCTTTAGGGAACCAGATACAATAAGAATTCCAGAGAACAACATAGAACACATAGAGGTGTCTAGAGACGAAGTGGAAAAAATGCTCAAGGAGCTCGGTAAGAACAAAGCAGCTGGCCCAGATGGCGTTTCACCATGGGTTCTGAGAGAATGTGCATCTGAGCTCAGCATTCCACTTCACCTGATCTTTCAGGCATCCCTGTGTACAGGAATCGTAGCAGACGGGTGGAAACAGGCTAACATAGTTCCAATCTACAAAAGTGGCAGCAGGGAAGACCCCCTCAATTATAGACCTGTATCATTGACAAGTGTAATAGTGAAAGTATTGGAAAAACTAATCAAAACTAAATGGGTAGAACACCTAGAGAGAAATGATATAATATCAGACAGACAGTATGGTTTTCGATCTGGAAGATCCTGTGTATCGAATTTACTCAGTTTCTATGATCGAGCCACAGAGATATTACAGGAAAGAGATGGTTGGGTTGACTGCATCTATCTGGACCTAAAAAAGGCTTTCGACAGAGTTCCACATAAGAGGTTGTTCTGGAAACTGGAAAATATTGGAGGGGTGACAGGTAAGCTTCTATCATGGATGAAAAATTTTCTGACTGATAGAAAAATGAGGGCAGTAATCAGAGGCAATGTATCGGAATGGAGAAATGTCACAAGTGGAGTACCACAGGGTTCAGTTCTTGCACCAGTGATGTTTATTGTGTACATAAATGATCTACCAGTTGGTATACAGAATTATATGAACATGTTTGCTGATGATGCTAAGATAATAGGAAGGATAAGGAATTTAGATGACTGTCATGCCCTTCAAGAAGACCTGGACAAAATAAGTATATGGAGCACCACTTGGCAAATGGAATTTAATGTTAATAAATGTCATGTTATGAAATGTGGAATAGGAGAACATAGACCCCACACAACCTATATATTATGTGAGAAATCTTTAAAGAATTCTGATAAAGAAAGAGATCTAGGAGTGGTTCTAGATAGAAAACTATCACCTGAGGACCACATAAAGAATATTGTGCAAGGAGCCTATGCTATGCTTTCTAACTTCAGAATTGCATTTAAATACATGGATGGCGATATACTAAAGAAATTGTTCATGACTTTTGTTAGGCCAAAGCTAGAATATGCAGCTGTTGTGTGGTGCCCATATCTTAAGAAGCACATCAACAAACTGGAAAAGGTGCAAAGACATGCTACTAAGTG